GATTATGCCACTGCACTCCCGCCTGGGAGACAGAATGAGACTCCATTTCTTAAAAAGAAAGAAAGAAAACAAAACAAAACAAAATAAAACAGGGCTGGGTCTGGGCACGGTGGCTCACACCTGTAATCCCAGCACTTTGGGAGCTGAGGCAGGCGGATCACCTGAGGTCAGGAGTTACAGACCAGCCTGACCAACACAGTGAAAGCCCTGTCTCTGCTAAAAATATAAAAATTAGCCAGGCATGGCGGTGGGCACTTATAATACCAGCTACTTGGGAGGCTGAGGCATGAGAATCACTTAAACCTGGGAGCCAGAGGTTACAGTGAGCCAAGATCTTGACGTACTCCAGCCTGGGTGACAGCAATACTCCATCTCAAAAGAAAGAAATCAAGAAGGAAAAAAACAGGAATTGTTCATAATCTCACTCCCTGAAAGAGAACCCCTATTGACATTTTGGTGTCTCTCCTTCCACAACATTTCTGTGCACAGATTTCATTACTTTAAGTCAGGCTGGCATCAGTTCCTACCGTATTGTGACTGAATGGCCAATCACCAGGCCTGGATCTCCCTCGTCATTTTAGGAAAGAGTCACTTTCTATGTGCCATCCTGTACAGATGGACATTTCACTTGAAAATCCATATTGGATGTGTTGGAACCAAATTATTTTCTGTGTGTAAAAAAAAGAAAAAAAAAAAGAAAACCCATATTGGGGCCAGGCACGGTGGCTCAAACCTGTAATCTCAGCACTTTGGGAGGCCAAGGCAGGTGGATCACGAGTCAGGAGTTCAAGACCAGCCTGGCCAACATGGTGAACCCTTATGTCTACTAAAAATAAAAAAATTAGCTGGGTGTGGTGGTGGGCACCTGTAATCCCAGCTACTTGTGAGGCTGAGGCAGAATTGTTTGAATCCGGGAGGCAGAGGTTGCAGTGAGCTGAGATCCTGCCATTGCACTCCAGTCTGGGAGACAGAGCGAGACTCCGTCTCAAAAAAAAAAAAAGAAAAAAGAAAACCCATATTGAGAGGAATGGGCTGACATTTCAGCTTTGCCACCATGCCATAGTTCTTGGGAAGAATCACTGGCCCAGAAGTTTTACACACAGGTGTTTCAGGCTTTTGGACCCACAGAATTCCCTTGTCAGAAGAGCAGTCACAGGCCAGTCACCAGCCTGGACAATATAATGAGACCTCACCTCTGCAAAAAAAAATTTTTTTTTGAGACGGAGTTTTGCGCTGTTGCCCAGACTGGATGGAGTACGATAGTGCAGTCTTGGCTCGCTGCAACCTCTGCCTCCCAGGTTCAAGCCATTCTCCTGTCCCAGCCTCTCGAGTAGCTGGCACTACAGGCACACGCTGCCATGCCTGGCTAATTTTTTGTATTTTAGTAGAGAAGGGGATTCACCATGTTGCCCAGGCTGGTCTTGAACTCCCGAACTCAGGCAATCTACCTGCCTTGGCCTCCCAAAGTGCTGGGATTACAGGTGTGAGCCACCACACCTGGCAAAAAAAAAAAAAATTTTTTTTTTGAGACACAATTTTGCTCTGTTGCCCAGGCTGGAGTATGGTGGCGCAATCTTGGCTCACTGTAACCTCTGTGTTCTGGGTTCAAGGGATTCTCCTGCCTAAGCCTCCCAAGTAGCTGGGGACTACAGGTGCACACCACCATGCCCAGCTAAATTTTTTTTTGTATTTTTAGTAGAGACAGGTGGTGCACACCTGTAGTCCAAGCTCCTTAGGAGGCTGAGGTGGGAGGAGCATTTGCACAGCCTAGAAGATCAAGGTCTCAGTGAGCCAAGATTGAGCCACTGCACTCCAGCCTGGGTAGCAGAGCGAGACCCTGTATCACAAAACAACAAAATGCCAGGCATGGTGGCTCACGCCTATAATCCCAGCATTTTGGGAGGCCCAGGCGGGTGGATCATTTGAGATCAGGAGTTCAGACCAACCTGGCCAACGTAGTGAAACTCTGCATCTACTAAAAATACAAAAATTAGCCAGGCATGGTGGTGGCACATGCCTGTAGTCCCAGCTACTCAAGAGGCTGAGGCAGGAGAATCGCTTGAACCCAGGAGGCAGAAGTTGCAGTGAGCGGAGATCGCGCCACTGCACTCCAGCATGGGCAACTGAACAAAACTCCATCTCAAAAAAAAAAAAAAAAAAAGCAGTCACACGTGCTTCTGTTCTCAGGGTGTCTCTCCTCTCTACCCCTCAGGCTGCGTCTGCTCCATGCTGAGGTCTCCAGCTTTCTTCTCCTCCTCTTCTGGGTCCCTTCTTCCTCCCTCACATGCTTATGCCTTTATCCTTTCTCCAAAGGAGCCTCATTGTGCAACTTGCCAGGGGCATGCAGGGCCAGCTGCCCTTTCTCCTTGGCATCCTGCCAGCCTGTCATGGTCACTACGATTCTCCAGTGGGGGGAAACCTCAGACTAGAAAAGACACACTCCCCGACCCCAGCATCCACAGTGACCTTGATTTCTCTTCCTGCAGGTCATTTGAACCAATTCTCCGCCTCCTTCCCCAGGGAATCTCTCCTGTCAGCCAGCACTGGGCAACCTGGGCCCTGTACAACCTCGTATCTGTCTACCGTGAGTGCCAACTTGTCCTGGGTTCAGACACTCATCCAGCTGAAAGCAGATGTGCTCTCAGGGAGTCTGTAGTCCAGGAAGGGAACATTAATTGCTGCTGCCAGCTTTTGTTCCTCAGAGCAGAGCCCTCCACTTTCCAGCATTTGTGGGATGCCCAGCTTACTGGGCAACTCCTGTCTCATCACCAGAAGCAGGCCTGGCAGAGGAAATACCTGTGCAGAGTTCCCAGCCAGCTTTCTTTTCTTTTCTTTTCTTTTTTTGAGACGGAGTTTCACTCTTGTTACCCAGGCTGGAGTGCAATGGTGCGATCTCGACTCACTGCAACCTCTGCCTCCTGGGTTCAGGCAATTCTCCTGCCTCAGCCTCCTGAGTAGCTGGGATTACAGGCACACGCCACCATGCCCAGCTAATTTTTTTGTATTTTTAGTAGAGACAGGGTTTCACCATGTTGACCAGGATGGTCTCAATCTCTTGACCTCGTGATCCACCCACCTCGGCCCCAAAAGTGCTGGGATTACAGGCTTGAGACACTGCGCCTGGCCCCAGCCAGCTTTCTTAATGCTTCCTGCTTCCATATGCAGAGACCGTCCAAAATCTCTATGCCAGTTGGGCACAGTAGTGCACACCAGCTATTCAGGAGGCTGAGACAGAATTGCCTGAGGTCTGGAGTTTCCAGCTGCAATGAGCTATGATCATGCCTGTGAATAGCCACTGCACTCCAGCCTGGGCAACACAGGGAGACGCCCAACTCCAATAATAAAATAAAAGTCTCCATGCTGTCTGCATGAGAAAAATACCATACCACCAGCTGATTGCAACCTGGCAGGCCACCAGAATCACCTGGTCTTGGTCCTTGGATCTGTTGAAAAAGAATATCCAGGGACAGGGCTTAGAAATCTATATTTTTACAGAAACTTCTCAAAGGATCACCATCTTTAGGAGCCACTGGTTTCACTGGTTTGGGTGACATTTTCCATAGTATGAGCACTGGAGGCCAGGCACAATGGCTGATGCCTGTATTTCCAGAACTTTGGGAGGCTGAGTTGGGAGGACTGCTTGAGCCCTGGAGGTTGAGACTAGCATAGGCAACATGGTGAGACCCTGTCTCTACTTTAAAAAAAAATTAGGCTGAGTGCATCAGCTTATGCCTGTAATCCTAGCACACTGGGAGGCTGAGGTGGGTGGATCACTTGAGCGTAAGAGTTCGAGACCAGCCTGGCCAACATAGCAAAACCCTGTCTCTACTTAAAATACAAAAATTAGCCACGTGTGATGGCACGTGTCTATAGTCATAGCTACTAGGGAGGCTGAGGCAGGAGAATCGCTTGAACCCAGGAGGCAGAGGTTGCAGTGAGCTGAGATCACACCACTACACTCCAGCCTGGGTGATAGAGTGAGACTCCATCTCAAAATATGTGTGTGTGTGTGTGTGTGTGTGTGTGTGTGTGTGTGTGTGTGTGTGATATGGCCGGGCCACTGTGGCCCAAACCTATAATCCCAGCACTTTGGGAGGCCAAGGCGGGCAGAGTCACCTGAGGTCAGGAGTTCAAGATCAGCCTGGCCAACATGGTGAAACCCCATCTCTACTAAAAATACAAAAAATCAGCTGGATATGGTGGTACGCACCTGTAATCCCAGCCATTCTGGAGGCTGAGGCATGAGAACCACTTGAACCCAGGAGGCAGAGGTTACAGTGAGCCGAGATTGCACCACTGCACTCCAGCCTGGGTGACAGACTGAGACTCTGTCTCAAAATCTATCATCTATCTATCTATCTATCTATCTATCTATATATATATATATAAAATTTTTTTGAAAAAAAAAGAATGAGCTCTGGAAATAAATGCAACTTCAAACCAAGGACTCACCCCTTGCTTCCCCTACATGGACATAGAACTCCCACCCATGGGGCTGGGCACACATCGCTTGCCCCTATTTCTAGCACTGTCCCCACCAAGGCCTGTCTTTACACCCGACACCAGGATGTAAACCTGATGTAAACCACCAGACAGGGTGGGTTTCTGGGCCTCAGGGTGATAAGAAGACCCATCCTGATCCTCTGCTGTCTACTCCTATCCCACAGCGGACAAGTACTGCCCTCTACTGATCAAAGAAGGAGGGATGCCCCTTCTGAGGGACATAATAAAGATGGCGACCGCACGGCAGGAGACCAAGGAAATGGCCCGGTAAGAGACAAGCAGTGTGTTTCTGCCTGGAACCTTAATTTGGGGGATTAAGGACACGGTGGGGGCCCTCTGGAAGTTAGGAATGGCTGAAATTTCCAGTGCAGCTTGGGGTTGAGTGTGGAGGTGGACAGTGTATTGATGTCCAGCTGAGTCCTCTCTAAATGTCATCTCAGCCACAATATGGCTGAAAACTAGATGACCAAGCTCTGAACGGAGCATCAGGGCCCTCATTTGTAAGCTTAGTTTTCTTTTATTTCCAACAAATTCCATCTCCTCTCATCAGTGGACATTAGCAAGTCAGGTTTGAACTTTCATTATTTTTGGCCAAAGACATTCCCACTAAAGAAGGGACACAGTGTGGTAAAATACATTCTAGAGATAAGATGAGGCAGAGTGCGAGTGAGTTTTCTGAATGTGAAGGTCACAAACATGGTGGAGTCTCGGCCTTCCATGGCTGTGTGGCTTTCACTGCAGCCTCCAAAATGTCACTGCCTCCAGTTCTCAGGACACGAGAGACTCAGGGATGCAATGTGTCCAAATCAGCAGGAATGACCTTGTTTTCTCCAGGATTCATTCTAGAAGGGAGAACAGTCAAGCTGACCCCAGTACACTTTTGTCATGGCTCTGAACCATATAGAGGAAAACAGGACGGGCCAGGAACTCAGAAGCTACTCAGACACCACTTCCTGGGCCAGGGGAGGGAAATGTCAGCTGGTTCTGCTATTATATGCAGTCAAAGGCACTGCTGGCCAGATGCAGTGGCTCATGATTGTAATCCCAGCACTTTGGGAGGCCAAGGCAGGAGGATTACTTGAGGCCAGCCTGGGAAACATCACGAGACTCATCTGTAAAAAACAAAATAAAACAAAAATTTGGCCAGGGATGGTGGTAGGCACCTGTAGTCCCAACTACTCAGTGGGGCTGAGGTAGGAAGATCGCTTGAGCCTAGGAGGTGCAGGCTGCAGTGAGTTATGACCATAATCATGACACTGAACTCCAGCCTGTGCAACAAACAGACCCCATCTCTTATTTAAAGAAGGAAAGAAAGAGAGAAAGAAAGAAAGAGAAAGTAAGTAAGTCCAGGTGCAGTGGCTCATGTCTGTAATCCCAACATTTCAGGAGGCTGAGGCTTGAGGCCAGGAGTTTGAGACCAGCCTGGGCAACATGGCAAGATCCTGTCTCTACAAAAAAAAATTAGAAATAAGCTGGGTATGGTGGTGTGCACCTGTAGTATTAGCTACTTGGGGGGCTGTGGCAGAAGGATCATTTGAGCCCAGGAGTTTGAGGCTACAGTGAGCTTTTTCTTGAGGGGGGCGGGGGCAGGGTCTTACTGTTGCCCAGGCTGGAGTACAGTGGCATGATCATGGCTCACTGCCCCTCCCCAGACTCAGGTAATTCTCTCACCTCAGCTTCCCAAGCAGCTGGGACTACAGGTGTGCACCACCACACCCAGCTAATTTTTGTATTTTTTGTAGAGGTAGGGTCTCACTATGTTGCCTAGACTGGTCTCAAACTCCTGGGCTCAGGAGATCCTCCCACCTTAGCTTCCCAAGGTACTGGGATTACAGGTGTGTGCCACCCTGCACCCAGCCAGGTGAGCTTTGATTGTGCAACTGTACTCCAGCCTGGGTGATGCAGTAAGACCCTATTTCAAAAAAAAAATTTTTTTTTTGAGACAGAGTCTCACTCTGTCACCCAGGCTGGAGTACAGTGGTGCAGTCTCGACTCACTTCAGCCTCCACCCCCCGGCTTCAAGTGATTCTCCTGCTTCAGCCTCCAGACCAGCTGGGATTACTGGCACACACCACCACAGCCAGCTAATTTTCATATTTTTAGTAGAGATGAGGTTTCACCATGTTGGCCAGGCTGGTGAAGGCCAGATGCGGTGGCTCACACCTGTAATCCCAGCACTTTGGGAGGCTGAGGTGGGTGGATCACTTAAGGTCAGGAGTTTGAGACCAGCTAACATGGTAAAACCCCATCTCTATTAAAAATACAAAAATTGGCCTGGCAAAGTGGGTGAGGTGGCCGTAATCCCAGCACTTTGGGAGGTCAAGGAGGGCATATCACAAGGTCAGGAGTTCGAGACCAGCCTGGCCAATATGGTGAAACCCCATTTCTGCTAAAAATACGAAAAATTATCCAGGCATGGTAGCGCGTGCCTATAATCCCAGCTACTCGGGAGACTGAGGCAGGAGAATCGCTTAAACCTGGGAGGTGGAGGTTGCAGTGAGCTGAGATTGTGCCACTGCACTCCAGCCTGGACAACAGAGCGAGACTCTGTCTCAAAAAAAAAAAAAGAAAAGAAAAATTAGGGGGGCCTGATGGTGCACACCTGTAATCCCAGCTATTTGGGAGGCTGAAGCAGGAGAATGGCTTGAACCCAGGAGGTGGAGGTTGCAGTGAGCCAAGATCATGCCACTGTGCTCCAGGTTGATCAACAGAGTGAGACTCTGTCTCAAAAAAATAAAATAGAGGCCGGGTGTGGTGGCTCACGCCTTTAATCCCAGCACTCTGGGAGCCTAAAGTGGGTGGATCACGAGGTCAGGTTTTGAGATCAGCCTGGCCAACATAGTGAAACCCTGTCTTTACTAAAAATACAAAAATTAGCCAGGTATGCACCTGTAGTTCCACCTACTCAGGAGGCTGAGTCAGGAGAATCACTTGAACCCAGGAGGCTGAGGTTGCAGTGAGCTGAGACTGCCATTGCACTCTAGCCTGGCTGACAGAGTGAGACTCTGTCTCAAAAAAATAATTAATTAATTAATTAAATAAAACAAAATGTAAGGCCACGTTCAGTGGCTCATGCCTGTAATCCCAGCACTTTGGGAGGCCGAGGTGGGTAAATCACAAGGTCAGGAGTTTGAAACCAGCTTGGCCAAGATTGTGAAACCCTGTCTCCACTAAAAATACAAAAATTGGTCAGGCACAGTGGCTCAAGCCTGTAATCCCAGCACTTTGGGAGGCCGAGGTGGGTGAATCACAAGGTCAGGAGTTTGAGACCAGCTTGGCCAAGATGGTGAAACCCTGTCTCCACTAAAAATACAAAAATTGGTCAGGCTTGGTGGCTCAAGCCTGTAATCCCAGCACTTTGGGAGGCTGAGGCGGGTGGATCACGAGGTCAAGAGATCAAGACCATCCTAGCCAACACGGTGAAACCCTGTCTCTACTAAAGATACAAAAAAAGTAGCCAGGTGTGGTGGCATGCACCTGTAGTCCCAGCTACTCGGGAGGCTGAGACAGGAGAATTGCTTGCAACCGGGATGTGGAGGTTGCAGCGAGCCGAGATCGCACCACTGCACTCCAGCCTGGAGCCTGGCAACACAGCAAGACTCTGTCTAAAAAAAAAAAAAAAACCCCAAAAATTAACTGGGCATCGTGGCGGGCACCTATAATCCCACCTACTTGGGAGGCTGAGGCAGAGAATCAATTGAACCGGGGAGGCGGAAGTCGCAGTGAGCGGAGATCGTGCCATTGTACTATAGCCTGGGCAACAGAGCACTACTTGGTCTCAAAAAAAATAATTAATTAAAAATAAATTAAGCAGGGGAGGCCAAGGTGGGTGGATCATGAGGTCAAGAGATCGAGACCATCTTGGCCAACATGGTGAAACCCCGTCTCTACTGAAAATACAAAAAAATTAGCTGAGTGTGGTGGCGTGCACCTGTAGTCCTAGCTACTAGGGAGGCTGAGTTAGGAGAATTGCTTGAACCCGGGAGGCAGAAGTTGTAGTGAGCCAAGGTTGGGCCAGTGCACTCCAGCCTGGTGCCTGGTGATGGAGTGAGACTCTATCTCAAATAAATAAATAAATAAATTAGGCTGGGTGTGGTGGCTCACTCCTGTAATCCCAGCACTTTGGGAGGCCAAGGCAGGTGGATCATGAGGTCAGGATATCGAGACCATCCTGGCCAACATGGTGAAACCCTGTCTCTACTAAAATACAAAAAATCAGCTGGACATGGTGGCACGCACCTGTAGTCCCAGCTACTTAGGAGGCTGAGGCAGGGGAATCGCTTGAATCCGGGAGATGGAGGTTGCAGTGAGCTGAGATCGTGCCACTGCACTCCAGCCTAGTGAAAGAGCAAGACTCTGTCTCAAACAATATAAATAAATAAATAAAACAATAAATGGACAGGGCCGTCCCCTTTGTTTTCTTTTCTAGTGCATCTGGGAGGTGGGAGGTGGCTGGTGGCCCTGAAATTTCTTTTTTTTTTTTTTTGAGATAGACTCTCATTCTGTCACCCAGGCTGGAGTGCAGTGGCATGATCTCAGCTTACTGCAACCTCCACCTCCCAGGTTCAAGCAATTCTCCTGTCTCAGCCTCCTGACTAGCTAGCATTACAGGTGCATGCCACCACACCCAGCTAATTTTTGTATTTTTAGTAGAGATGGGGTTTTCCCACGTTGGTCAGGCTGGTCTCGAACTCCTGACCTTGTGATCTGCCTGCCTCAGCCTACCAAAGTGCTGGGATTATAGGCGTGAGCCACTGTGCCCAGCTGGCCCTGGAATTTTCATGGTTAACAGGGATTCCCAGGAAATTTGAGAAGCACTAGGTAAGACTGACCAGTTACGTAGGGCAGTCACTTTGAACATTTTTCCAAGGCCTATGATGGGAATCTGAGGCACTGGTCTGTCTGACAGCAAGGAGTAAATGACCCTGGACAATGCTTAGGAGAAAGCCCTTGGCCTATCCACTGATCCCTCTCCTACTCTGAGTATTTGCCTCCTAAAATGCATTGGGACACCCCTTGAACACATGGAGGCTGCAGTGAAGCTCCCAACTCAGAGGCTTGGTGTTGAATGGACAAGCTGTCTGGGGTCCAAGGTGACAGCTGACAGTGATGGTTGGCAGGGGTCAGTCTGGGGCGGTCAAGATTTGAAATCTGAGCTGGAGCACTGGGCCCTAGCTGCCCCTGCCCCACCCTGGACCTGCCACTGGATCTGGGCCTCTGGGGGAATCTGATGTGTAGTCAGTTTGGGGACCACTGGTGGACTTCTGGAAAGAGAAGGGTCTAGTGTGCAGGAGAAAAAAGGAAGAGGTCGCTAAATAAAGTTCCAAAGTGTTTTGGAGGTCAGGCCTGGGCTGATTTGGGGACCCCCCTCTATCCAGATGCCCTGGGACTGGGGGTGGGGGAAGAGGGGCATGGGAAGGAAGGGAGGGAAGGATGGCTGGTGGTGGCATTCATGGCCACAGGTGCCATTCCCTGGGTCCCTACACATGCTGGCCACTCTGCCAACCCCTCTGTCCACATCATTCGGTCACTGTCACCATCACTATGAACATGTGTTCACCAGCTGCCTGATGACCTAGGAGGGGCTGGGCTCACCTCTGCCAAGCCCACCCTCCAATCCTGTCTTCCCCCATTGTCTCCAGCAAGGTGATTGAGCACTGCAGTAACTTTAAAGAGGAGAACATGGACACGTCCAGATAGAGGCCTCCGCCCCCAAGGCCGCCACCACTCTGGACCACAGGCGGGGAGGAAGTGCGCTGAAGCAGCCCACCGGGCGGGCCCCTTATGGGGAGCCTCCCATGGGGTGAAGAGACACGGGGGACTTTTGCACAACCGATGCTTTTCCTTAACATTAGTGATATATATATATATATTATATATATATATATTTTTTTTGGTTAGGAAGTGTGAAGTTTTGTGTGTATGATTTCTGTACAAAACAAAAGCAACACTCCCGGAGTCCCTGCCACTTCCTTGGCCATTCTCAAGCCCACTCAAAGCCTTCATCGCTGCCACATTCACTCCTACCCCAGCCGGACTAAATGCCTATAATGTTGAGTGTCCAGTCCTTGTCCAGTAAACTCAGATCCTGGCCTGGCTTACTCTGATGAGA